ANNNGAAATCCGCAGTTCCCGTCCGGCGTCACATCCAGATAACTCTGTACGTAGCTGTGAACTACGTAGGGAATCCTACCACAATGTCGGTACTGAAAAAAATCCGTCTCGAATGTATCTGTAATATCAGAATAATTTCACGTCATAATTTATGTAATTGAATTTACAAACATAATTAGTCATCGTTCAGATAAAAAGTAAAATTAAATTACCTGTCGGATCTTGAGACGATGAGCTTGTCGGGGCACACGAAGAAATGCTTGTACGACCCACCGGACGACCTCTTTCCCTGTAGTCCCACATCGAATAAGTGCTTTTACGCCCCGGCCGACGACCTGTTTCCGTGTACCCCGATTGCGATGGAGCACACGAAGAAGTGCTTTTACGCCCCGGCCGACGACCTGTTTCCGTGTGCTCCCATCTCGATAGATCGCGTTTTGTTGAATTTTTCTTCTTGGGCCGACCTCTCGGATTTTCCTTCACTGCAGGTTCTGTGTATCCCTGTTGATCAGGGTGAAGCTGAGAGTCGATGAGATGATTCAGGTACCGTACAGTCGCAGGATCGGCCGCTTCAACCTCCTCGGCAAGCCTCCGAAAATAATCATGATCAGTCCATCCACTCGCCGATGCACTCTGCCGACCTGTCCGTACCGAAAATTTAAAGAATTATACAATATGCTCTATCAAAATTTGTATAAATTAAATAAAATTTAGGAGAAAAAAAATGTATTTAATGATGTTCTCTAGATTTATTAATCTCGCAATTATACCTGGCTGCATCACCTCTAGTGTGCTCCAGAAGACGTGGATGTCGTCGGTCGTAATATTTCTACGTACAGTGTGTGCCTCCCTTAGCTCACAGGCACAAGGAAGTCCATGAGTGTATTTTAGTGCACAATCGCAGCGCTCCGAAACATCTTTGTCGAAGTCTCGCATCTTCTGAAGCTCATCATTCAATATATCAATACAGTAATGCGAGACCCGCAGTGTCAACTGCTCGAAAGGGAATTCCCTGCAGCCCGTACTCATCCTAAGTCTCGAAGACTCCAGCGTCTCCCTGGTAATACATTACATAACATAAAATTCGACCGAAGTAAAATTTATAATCAATGCATTAATAACACAGTCTTACAGTATAAATTAAAAAAATATACCTGACTTTAGTCAGTTGAGAATCAATCTCTTTGTCAATCTTCTCCCAAACCGTGTCGAGCGAACCAGTCGACGTGTTAAGCCACCGCTTCAACGTAGCGTGGGAACTCTCCACCCTACACGACGTTGTGTTGCCAAAATGTAAGACAGTGTCCGTCCACAGTTTGACAAACTTCTCCTTGTGCACTAGCCATGTCTGATCCACATATTCCAGCACACGAGGAAACATCGCGTATGTAACAGCCATATCAGTTACGGCAGTTTTGTATTTGTCCCACGTGTTCGCCTCGACAACCTTCTTCCACTTGCCGTGCGTGAACTTCTGCGCGAAGATCTTATTTTTAGTTAAGCTTGTCGACGTGAATCGATAGACCCTGTCTTCCACATCCTTGTAGATGTGCCACGTGCAGAGTAAATGGGGCGTCTTCGGAAAATTCCTCTGAATAGGAGTGATCAACCCCAACTCCCTGTCACTGACAATGACTGTAGGATGTACATCAGGCCCAATCAAGAGTCTCAACCGCTGTAGGACCCAGTCATAGCTGTACTCGGTCTCGTCCTTGATAATTGCATAAGCAATTAAGAAATTCTTATTGCACGGCGTCATTCCAATCATCTCAACCAACGGCATGTGGTACCTGTGCAAATGAAAGCAGCAAGAAGAAAAAAAATTGAATCAAAAACTTACTCAACCATACTATTTTAAGATTCACATTATATTACTATTTATAACGTAATGTAACATACCTGTTGGTTTTGTATGTGGAATCTATACCGACATACCAGTAATATGTCCGGAATAGACTGGCTGCTCCTGGATGCGACATGAACACACGTGTCAACTCCTGTGTGTCCGGGTCAACATCTGTGTAAACTATGTAGTTGCTGCCCCTGGCCAAATGCATGAGCTGGCCAACAATATCTCTACCCTCCAGACGCTCTTTTCGCAATTGACCTCTATAGTTATACACTTGTCGGCAAGTAGCGTTGTCCACTGAGTTTTTCTCCTGAATTGCAGCCAATATAATTCCCGGTCTTGCCTGAGCATCTGTCATATCACGGACAATCTCTTTGGATGAATCGCTGAGTCGGCTCATCTGTCGATGACCCTCGGGATGCACAGCCAAAGCATGATTATGAAATCCCTTCTCGTCTTCTAAAGGAAGCCAGATACTCCATTTTTTGGAATTTGCTTCAAATTTGACTTTTATCAGAAAAGGGCAGCCAGTAAATTTAGTCTTCGAACGTCTCAAAACAGCATTCACAAGATTTCCTAGTTTTCCTGCCTTGCCTCTGTAACGTTCCCCTCGATGACACCTCAACGTCCGAACCATTCCATCTTTTTCGTGTCTCGAGATGACCAATTCGAAATTCCATATCAATGCAATGTCCTTTGCCCATTCAATAGCTTCCTCATGACTATCAAATAGCTCATTTGTAGCAAAACAAGATCGGTAATCTTCGCCGTCTCCTCCAAAATCTTCGAGTGGCACCTGCAATATGTTACGAT